AGACGAAATGTCATGAGTAGAACATACGTACATACATACAGGTCTGGAAAGCTGGCTCAAAAAATTAGTAGTATAATTTAGTCAGAGAAAAGGATTGTATATAGGAGTATAAGATAAGGTAGGCTCCAGCCAAATTTTGCAGGCCCCATTATATGGGCAGTTGGGATAAGGGAGTTAAAGGTTTTTGAGCAATAAGGTGGCCAGAGCAATGTTTTCAAGAGCTCAACTTGGTGGGGCAGTGGTTTGAAGAAAGGAATGCTAAATGCAGGGCTAATCAGTAGGAGACTATATTCATTTTCTATTGGTGCTATAATAATATTGCACAGATTAATTATATTGCACAGATTAATTATACCCCGGTTTCTGTGGGCCAGAATTCCAAGCACAGCTTAGCTAGGTCCCCCTACCTAGGGTCTCAACAAGAGTACAGAGCATTGACTTGGGCCATGGTTTTATCTGAGGCTCAACTAAGGAAGATTTTGTTAGCAGAGTTCAGTAACTTTTGTACCAAGGATTTCAGTTTCTTGCTGTCAATCAAAGGTTATCTACAGCTCCTAAAGACATCCCTCCATTCCTTCCATGAGCATCCCAACATTGTCATCCCACAACGTGACAGCTGTTTCAAAGCCAGCAAGAGTGTGAGAGACTTCAGCAGAGCAGCACTGTCATCTTACATAATCACGTATGTCCTGTCACTTCTGCCACATTCTGTTAGAAACAAGTCATGGGTCACTCCCACACTCAAGGAGAGAGGACTAGAGAAGAGTATGCATATTAGGAAGTGGACCATGGAGAGACTGCTCTAGAATCTGCTAGAGACAAATGCAGTTGATGAGATCAACGGAGTCTGAATTAGGGTGGTATTAACACACAAAAAAAAGAATAATCAGATTCAAGAAACTATATCTAGGCAATATAATTATGAATTCTTACCCACCTTATGTTAAGTTTTTTTGCATATATCATCTCATGTAATCCTCTAAATAGCTGTTTGAGGTACGTGCCAGGAAAATCCTTATTTCACAGATGAGGACACAGGCTTTGAAAAGTTAAGTACCTAAGTTACAAATATCCCAGCTTCAAATCTGGGTGTCCCAACCTAGATTTGAACATAGGATGTCAGTCCCAGAGCTCATAGTCCTAGCCACTGTTCTTTAACTGGTCTTCAAAGTATAGGGGATTTAAAGAAAGATGGGTAAGAAAATATTGAAGATAAACTGCAAGTGTTTAATGCATTTCAACTCAGGGAATGGTGGTATTATCAAAAAAGAAATGTCACGAGAGGCACTATTACACTAATACTATGCATACACTACGTGCCAAGCACTGTGCTAAGCACTCAGTATGCATGACACAGTTAATGTTCCAACAGCCTCTAATAATAGCGGATATTCAGCAGATACCTAAATTCCATCAATGGAGCATGAGAAAAAAGTCAGTGCTAGAGTTAACTATCAGGGAGCATCCATGTGGAGATTATCATCTTTAAAATTAGATGAGATGGGTGCAGAGGTAATCTAGCAGTGATATGTCACCCCACTGATCACCAGCATTGATTTGGCTGATCTGGCTACTAGACAGGTGTCCCCTCCTTCCCCCTTCCATGTGCATCCCTCCTGTGCTGTACACTCAAAAAGGATGACCTTCCCAAATACTGTTCTTCCATCAAGGGTATAGGAGAAGCTGCACACCTGTTAGAACCTCCAAAAGAGCTTTTGAGTTCAATTTGTAGGAGAATGTAGGGTCATCAAGATTCCAGAACTCCAGACACATCCAATGAAGCACTGCATGTGGCAGTCTGCCTTTTAAAAAATTAATTAAAATTAGATGGGCTGTTTAAGAGACAAAGGACAGACTTCATAACAGAACCTTAGAACACACCTGTATTTAGAGGTTGAGGGAAGGAAGAGACACTTTAAAAAGCAGTTAAGACATATGTATCAGAAAAGATGGAGATATAACTGGAAAATGCAAAGGGGAAAGAAGAAAAAAGGGTTGTGAGCACTATCAGCCACCAGAAAGTAATCAAAGAACCTCAGAATCAAGGTTAGGAGGTCTAACTCTTGGGTAAGTAGATCCAGGAAAACAGCCTGACTGTGTGAGAGTCAGCTGGCCCATGGGTAGATGGGGGAACTGGGCTAGGAAGGAAAGAGTGGGGCGTAAGGATGAAGAGTTCACCAGTATAAATTTCTCCATAATTGCAGATGAACTAATGTCATATGAGAGGGGTTGAATAATTAGGTAGCAGCAATCTTGTGTGTCATAAAATAGAAGGTGAAGGCTCATGTCGGAAGGAAAAATGAAAATGGCAGAAAGAGATAGACTACTGATGGAAAGTGACCCCAGCAGAGACAGAACAAGGAGGAGGTGCAGGTCCTTAGAAAAGGCGAGACATGTTACTAATGGAGGTGGAGGAGAAGAGCCCTGAAAGAAAATGCAGGAAAACAAGAGGTTCAAGAGAGTAAAATTGAGGATGTTCAAATTGAACATCCTCCATTTTCTTCCTATAGTACCACCCAAGTTCACAGTAGTGAGAAAAGGGGAAAGACCTCAGTACTGGAGATAACAACAAATATTTTAATTAACTGATGCAACAGTTGACCAAAGTTTAGCCCAGTGATAATTGAAGGCAGTTAGATGGTACTGCACAGTGTTAGAAACTGACATCGTGTGGATGGCAGATAAGCCTGAAGGAAGGAAAAATGGATTCTAGGCCAGTGAAGTGTATTGGCATGGTCTACACTGAATGATGAGGTTAGGTGAATACTGATGGGAGTTCAAAATCTGAAGATTATGATTTGGGCATGGAGGAAGTTATCAAAAATAAGGAAATAAAATGCTTTTTATCAGAAAAGGGATGCCGAGACCTTGAAGTAAAATAATTCCAAATCAAGCAAACTATAAAGTGCCCTCTTGCAGTTTCAGAGGCTAAATAAAGAATGATGAGGCCAAAGTATTATATGGGCCAGAAGTAAAAATAAACTGTGGCAGAGGATGTGAGGGGTGGATGGAGGATATGACTGACCGGGCATCCAACTCAGGAAGACAAGGTGGGTTATTATGATGGAGGTCATAAACAGACCAGCAAGGACAGGGCTTAGATGTTAAGGTTCAAACATAGAGGTCATCAAAGGCAGAACACTAGTCTAAAAATGACAACGAGGGCAAGAATGTTTTTGAGGCTTGTTGTGTCTTCATGGGCAATTTTTCAATTAGGGTAAAGAATTGGAAGTTCAACTTGAAAGTCAATCTAAGACCAGAGGAGACTTTGCTTCACAAAGGAACTAGGAGGCAGAGTCACCAGAGAGTGACTGAAATGGAATCAAGGGCATGCGGCAGGAAGGGAAAGTGTTAGCTGGGATCAGATATGAGCATTTTTCCTTTCTCACATCTACACAGTCACCTCTTTACAAGTGACCCTTCTAATCCTTAAAATTACCTGTAAGGCATTATCCCCATTTTACAGATGATGAAAAAAAAAAATCTGGTTTGGGAATTTGAATCTTGTCCTCATTGCAAATTCTGGGTTCTTTCTACCACAACAGACAGACTCTCAGGTAGTCTTAAAATGTTTACTATAGCTTTCAAGGACTAACTGGAAATCATGCCTGACTTATACAAAGTGGGTATAACACAGAATGTGTTTTTTTATCGAGGTATATAATTAACCTGTAACATCGTATTTAGTTTCAGGTAGACCACATGATTTGGCATTAAACGTCCATCATCATAAATTATTTACAAATGTTTCTTGTCATGAGACCCTTTAAGACGTACTCTCTTAGCAATTTTCAGACATGCAGTGCAGTATTATTAACTGTAGTTGCCATGCAGTTCATTACCTTCCATGACATTTTTTAACTGGAAGTTTGTACCTTTTGACCCATTTCAATTCTCCAAACTCCGTGCCCCAGCAACCACAAATCTGTTCTCTGTATCTATGACATGGCTCAGTATTTTTGTTTAGATTGCATATACAAGATCATATGGTATTAATTCAGGTAGCATAATGCCCTCAAGGTCCATCCATATTATTACGACAGCAAAAATTCCTTAAGGCTAATGGTGTGTATGTGTGTGTTTGTGTATACGTACACACACATTTTCTTTATCCATTCATCCATCAGTGGACACTCAGGTTGCTTTCATATCCTATTGTAAATAATGCTGCAGTGAACATGCAGGTGGATATATCTTTCGAGTTAGTGCTTTCATTTTCTTCAGATAAATACCCAGAAGTTGTTTTGCCGAATCATATGGTAGTTTTGTTTTTAATTTTTTGAGGAACCTCCATCCTGTTTTCCGTAGTGACTGTACCAATACACATTCTCAACAGTTTGTGCACAAGGGTTCCTCATTCTCCACATCCCCACCAACACTTGTTATTCATCTTTTTGATGGTAGCCATTCTAACAGGTGGGAGGTGATATTTCATTATTTTGGTTTTGATTTGTATTCCCCTGATGATTAATGATGTTGAACACTTTTTCCTGTACCTGTCATCTATATGTCTCCTTTAGGAAAATGTCCACTTAGATCCTCTGACCATTTTTTAAAAGATTATTTTTAGAGAGTGAGTGGGGAGGGAGGAGGGAGAGGGGGAGAGAATCTCCATTGAGCGCGGAGCCTGACTCGCATGGCTCAGTCTCAGGACCCTGAGAGCTGAGCCGAAGCTGAGGATCATGACCAGAATCAAAACCAAGAATCAGATGCTCAATCAGGTGCACACCACTGACCATTTTTTTAAATTGGATTTTTTGTTTTTTGCTGTGAGTTGTACACACAGTGTATTTTTCTCTTGAGTTATATTCAGATCGAAAGTGTTCTATGTGAGGTTTATAGCTAATACTGTATATTTAAATCTTAATTTTTTTTCAAGAAAAACATCTTGGACCCTTTTCCTTAATGATATTAAGGAACTTTCAGATATATCCAAGATATACACATTGAATTTCTGTAACTATAACCTAAAACATTATTTTTATTGCTATATTTTTCAGGTGTGAGAATGAAACCAAATTTAAAACAGAAGATGTATTTTGGGCTTACAATTTCTGCCCTACACCATACTCCTGGACTGCACTTCTGGGCCTTATTTTATATCTTGTTTTCTTCGCACCTGGTAAACAAAGGCTTTGTGTTGTATTAATTAAAGTGTCTCTTTTTAGAGGGGACAAACTACTCTTTTTCAGATTTTAGACTACTTTACTGAAATTTTTAGTTTCATATTTTTCTCAGGAATGGGACCAATGCCTTGGACTGTGAATTCTGAAATATATCCCCTTTGGGCAAGAAGTACAGGAAATGCATGTTCATCTGGAATAAATTGGATTTTCAACGTTCTGGTTTCACTGACATTTTTACACACAGCAGAGTATCTTACATATTATGGTAAGAGAATATTTTTCTCATCTATAGTTTCATTTTTATTTTTCCTCCTCTTTTTATACATGCTATCATTTGTGTTTGAAAGTGTAGATGGTTATATTTTTGCTATTATAAGTAATCTCTATGTGGTTCTTTCCTTCCCCAAAGGCCTTGAAAAAGTACGTGGAAAAGATAAAAGGAATTCTCCTTTCCTAAGCAGCACTCCTTCTTGTCCCTCAGTGCTTTAGAGACTTAACCCACCTTCCAACCCAAACATCTCCCAGCTCTCTCCCCAGTTGGAAATCTTCATAGCAGTGCTTTTAGTTTAATGAAGAAACCTAAACAACAGAGCATGGTAGAAAGGAGGCAGGCAGGGAATCTAAGGGCTAATGCTTGAAGATGTTTCGTGACGGAGATGGAGTCATGTCCAAGTAGCTCCCCCAAAGGTCGTGCTGTGATTTATGCCTTCCACTGTATCATCCATGCTGTTCAGGTCATGGCATGTTAATTTCAGCATCCACTAAGAGCAGCACTTAGCACTGCCTGAAGCATAAACCTAACAGAGGTGTTTATGTGCAAATGTGTGGACCATACCTCAAAACAGTATTAGGAAGTGGCTGAGACAGGAAAAAACTCCAGGAAGCTACTTCAAGTCCATTTTTATTAAAATGAAAAGACTTTCTCTTTAGCAACAGAATTTCTTCATTATATGTATGAGTTTACAGTTTGTAATTGGATTCTAAAAGATGAAACGTGAGGTTTTTATTCTAATGTCCCCATAAGTCTCTGTATGTATAGGGACTGTCTCTTGCTTATACCCATTCTCTGATCCCTTACCCATCACTCACCCCACCTCATCCCATGCTCCAGGCACTTAAATTCCTTTTTGCAAGAACCCACACACACCCCTCACAGTTGGACCATAAATGTTTGCAGCTCAGGCCAGGACTTACGCCTTGTTCACCATTATAATAGTCCCAGTGACTTCCTGGGCATTGCTGTTCACTGGGCATTCACAGGGGTCTATCAAATGAATAAAAATGCGGAAGAATTTTAATATGAAGAAACATTATACGAATCTGTTCCTTCTCATTCTCAACATCCGTATTGGTACTTATTTTTATTATCTTTATAAAACTCTTGTTTCCCCCAGTGAACATTTAAGAAATTTAGAAACATTAAAAAAGGAAATACACTGGCATTTGAAACTGGATATGCATTTCATATATTCATTTTTAACCCACTGGCAATTAGAGCTTTTTACATAAATTCAGAAACCTATCTTTCTGAGACCATAAATATTTACACAATAAATATTTACCCATATTTGCTAGTTCTTGAGAATGCTTAATTTTTTTTGTTTTGGAGAATTCTTAAATATTTAAAGACCTAACTACAGGTTAACATATTAAGTCATAGACCAAAAGTCTACAAGGCAAGGCATTTGTTATCAGAGTGCCTTTCTCTCAAATTTATGCTGCCCAAACAACATGAAGCAACAGAAATAAAATTTAAATAGCTCATAGCCAGGCTTCTTTCAGAAATATCCAGTTAGAACAAACTGGTGTTTGCCAGAGGGGTAGGGGCTGGAGGGGATGGGCAAAATGACTGGTAGGAGGTACAGGCTTCCAGTAATGGAATGAAAAAGTCCCATAGATGGAAAGTACAGCATAGGGCATATGGTCAGTGGTACAGTAATAGCACTGTGTGACAGTGTGGTGACAGATGGTAGCTATACTTGTGAGCACAGCATAAGATAGAGTTGTGGAATCAATATGTTGCACACTGGAAACTAGTGTCAACTGCACTTTCATTTAATATAATATGTTTATATATATAATAAAGAACTATATCCAGTTAGAAGCAGATTTTTGCTTTGCATTAAGCCAAGCTTCAATTATGTTGGCACACTGGTCCATTAGGTCTACTGCTTGCTAGTAGCGGAACAACATTTAAGTTCAGATGAAGTTTTTTCCCTGTTTTTGGATCTGAATTTTAATCTACATTTAATCTACTATTGGTTTATGTAAGGTGCATGTTTCTATTCCTCATTTACCAAACACGTACCATAATGAAGTATTTCTCTTGAAATATGCAGGTCTTTTATTTCCTCCTTTCTTCATAAAACTTCAGATTTTGTTTCCTTTCTAAACTGTACTGCTTAGATAGTCTGTCTGCCTTGGACCCCATGCACTAGTGTTTATTACTAAAAACTGTCACCAGTATACCATTTTATGTATAGCACTGTGAATACCAAATACTAAATCTACCAAAGAGATCCCTTGGAAAGGATTGTTATCAAAGTTCCTATACTGAAATATTGAAATTCAGTCACACATGATCTTGATTCCTCATTATGTATAATTCAATTAAACATTTGCTTAAATCCAAAACTTATTATAGGACTCTAATAAGATTTATTTCCTTCAGAACAAAGCTAAGGAATATGTGCACTTAACAATCCTGACAGACTCATTACAGACCATTTTTTTTTTTCATTTTCATTCCAAAAGAAATACTAAGTAAGTTTACATAATTGACTTGGCCATTACTTGGAGCGGGTCGCAACCCCCCACCCTCGGTTGGCCCTGCCCCTGGGGCTTACCCATAGGTCTCACCAGTGGAGCACACTTAGGAAGTTTTGGTATTTGCCCGCTTTACTTTCTTCAGATTCTATAAAGGGGTCTTGTATTTTTTTTTAAGATTTTATTTCTTTTAAGATTTTATTTCTTTGACAGACAGAGATCACAAGTAGGCAGAGAGAGAGGAGGAAGCAGGCTCCCTGCTGAGCAGAGAGCCCGATGCGGGGCTCGATTCCAGGACCTTGGGATCACGACCCGAGCTGAAGGCAGAGGCTTTAACCTACTGAGCCACCCGGACGCCCCAAGGGTCTTGTATTTTAATAGCATTTCCTTGATGTTGTTTGGCTTGGGAATCTGGGTCACAAGCATGAAGCCGTTATGGCCTTTTAAGAATATTCCTAATCCATCTAATTGTTTTTAACTATAGGGTTGAGCACTGAAAGATTTGTTATTTTTCTTAATGTCTGTTCCTAAATTGTGAAACATGGTAAGTGTTTCCTCAATATTATAGTTTATAAAGCCAAACCTAGTTTTCTCTGTTAGAGATTTTGGAGTTTAGCAGCCTGATTTAGTCTAAAATATTTTACCATCTGCACTTATTTTTCCTGTGTTATCATCATGATTACCATCCTTTCTTTGTCCCTCCCTGCTAAAGATTCCATTTCTCTTCCCACAAGTTTCACTTCTCTGTAATCAAACACAGGACTGTATCTCCTTTCATTTTTTCCCCTAAATCCCCACATTATCCAAGATCTAGCTTGTCAGTATCACCTTTTTCATGAAAACTTTCCCAGTTTTTAAGTCCTACTAATATCATTCTATTCTAATAGTAACCCTTCTTCCCTAGTCATTTAGTGGAGTTTGATAATGCTATCCCCTTTTTTGGAATTCTAATAGGCATGTAACATCATACATTAATTATTTCTGTTCTTTGCAGTTGGGGAGGGCAGCAGTTATTTTCTCCATTAGATGAGGAAACCAAGGTCAAGAGAATTTAAGAAACTATCCTAGGACTCTGCCTGTGTCACTTTGTGACTTTCCAATCCACACTCTCTACAGAGCCTTCCTCTCACTGTAATTCAGTCATGCATCCCAGGTGACCTAGTACTATCTTCTGATTATTTACCTAGTATAAGACATGTCTGTTTAACATGAACCAAAACAAATGAAATAAAGGACCCCTATATGTGTAAATGGAGTTTTTTTTTTTTTTTAATTTTATTTAGTTATTTGACAGACAGAGATCACAAGTAGGCAGAGAGGCAGGCAGAGAGAGAGAGGAAGGGAAGCAGGCACCCTGCTGAGCAGAGAGCCCGATGTGGGGCTTGATCCCAGGACCCTGAGACCATGACCTGAGCCGAAGGCAGAGGCTTAACCCACTGAGCCACCCAGGCGCCCCTGTAAATGAAGTTTTTAACCGAGAATGTGATTTATAGCACCTTAAGAGTTGTATAGCTTCTGATGATTTAATCTAACAAACTTTCATAATTTAGTCAACCCTTTCATGTTTTTTCAAAATCTCGTAATTTACCTCTTTTTCGCTTTTCTCATAACTCCTCCTCATTCCAGAGCAGATTCTTTCAGGTGGTCAGTTCAACAGCATTTTTCCTCCATAGTTTCCTTTTCCTGAAATGGTGCTTATAGGCATTGTCTTTAAGAAAGTAGTCTTGGGGGGCACCTGGGTGGCTCAGTGGTTAAGCCTCTGCCTTCGGCTCGGGTCATGGTCTCGAGGTCCTCGGATCGAGTCCCACATCGGGCTCTCTGCTCTGCGGGGAGCCTGCTTCCTCCTCTCTCTCTCTCTCTCTCTCTCTGCCCACTTGTGATCTCTGTCAAATAAATAAAATCTTTAAAAAAAAAAAGAAAGTAGTCTTGGGGCACCTGGATACTCGGTTGAGTGTCCAATTCTTGGTTTCAGCTCAGGTCATAGAATCGAGCCTCGAGTTGGGCTCCACACTCAGCAGGGTGTCTGTCTGAGATTCTCTCCCTCACTGCCTGCCCCTCCCCACCCACACGTGTGCCTGTTCTCTCTTAAAAAAAATAGCCTTGGGCGCCTGGGTGGCTCAGTGGGTTAATCTGCTGCCTTCGGCTCAGGTCATGATCCCCGGTTCCTGGGATCGAGTCCCACATTGGGCGCTCTGCTTTGGCGGGGAGCCTGCTTCCCACCCCCACCTCTGCCTGCCTCTCTGCCTAGTAGTGCTGTCTGTCAAATTAAAAAAAAAAAAGTAGCCTTAATAATGTCTTTCCCAGGGGTGCCAGGGTGGCTCAGTGGGTTAAAGCCTCTGCCTTCGGCTCAGGTCATGGTCCCAGGGTCCTGGGATCGAGCCCACATCGGGCTCTCTGCTCAGCAGGGAGCCTGCTTCCTCCTCTCTGTCAAATAAATAAATAAAATCTTAAAATAAAATGTCTTTCCCATTCTGTAATGATTCAACAGAACTGAGAAATATTATTCAGTTCTTTAACTGATCTGTTTTGCTTAAAGCTTAATTTTTGAAATATGTCTTTATATTTTCTAGTTTAGTCCTTCATTTCTGATCTATTTACCCAGTGTATTCCATCTGGCAGTGAACAAGAGCACATTTATTTCTAGACCCTCCAGTGTGTCAGGCACCATTCTAGGCACTGGGGACCCAAACACAAACAAGCCATACAGACTCAGCCCTCGAGGAGATCAGTTTTGACACTGAAGCAGAAGAACACATCTCCCTCAAAGTGCCTGCAGTCTAGCAGACAAGACAGACACAAATTCATGCAGACAATTATAATACTTTTTAATAACAATGATGGGGGCCTCAGCAAAGTGCTTTAAAAATACATAGGAGAGAACAATGATCTCTAGCCAGGGAAGTAAGGAGAGATTCAAAGCAAAAGTTATATCTGAACCCAGTTTATCATTCCTCTTGAGTTAGTTAGACATTACATGACTAATAATACATTGTATTATGTTCCTAGAGCTCGAACAGTAACAGTAAAGCAGGCTGGTAGTTATTTCTTGATCCATGTCAGACCAGTTAGGCACAACTGACCAGAAAGAAAAGTCAAAATCAAGTACTCTTTCCAACATAGACAGTACCTACAAATACGTATTATTTTCCGTTGCAGGAGCCTTCTTCCTTTATGCTGGATTTGCTGGTGTGGGACTCATTTTCGTCTATGGCTGTCTTCCTGAGACCAAAGGGAAAAAATTAGAAGAAATTGAATCACTCTTTGACAACAGGTTATGTACATGTGGCGCTTCAGATTCTGATGAAGGGAGATATATTGAATATATTCGGGTGAAGGGAAGTAACTATCATCTTTCTGACAACGATGCTTCTGATGTGGAATAATTTTCAGATGCTGATTTATTTAGGTATTTAAACAAACCTGGGGGACAAAAGCAGCAATTGGTGACCTCAGTGCCCTGCTTTTAATCTGGTTCTTTCCACAGTCTAGTTTTGAATGACCTCATAATCTAGAATATTTGATTAGGAGGAAGATACAACCATGATGACATTTTTTTTTCACAAGCAGAAATGTAAAACAATATTTAGAGATTTTAAACTAATAATTACTGAACAAATGTATGTAATTCCTTCCTGAGGTAGTCTAAAATGAATATTGTATCCAGTGACTTCAGTGGTATCCTTTTTTCCTAAAACCATATATAATTATTAGTGGCAGTAGAATCAGTGCTAATCTAGCTTAATTGTATGATATACTTATGAAGAAAGATTCTGGGATAAGATCCGAGGGTGTTTTCTGTCAAAACATGGCCTGTTGGCCCTAAATTTTCCTAGGGACAAGTAGCTTATCCGTGATCAGCTATTAGAAAGATTCTGTTTAAGCTTTCAACAAATTCAAAAGTACCTCATACAGAGGCACAATTGTCCTTATCTCCTGTGGATTCCACATTTTGGTCTCTCTCTCCAAATCAGATCTTGAGAGTTCAGAAACTGACTCTGCACAGGACCCTTTGAACACTATGAAAAGCAGGTCTTTTAGGGTTTATTTTCATACATATTTTTTGCATTGGTGATAAGTATACATTTGCACAGATAAGCTAGCAAGTTTTGATAAGTATATTTTATTGCTAGAAAGTAAGAAAGAAAACATTTTTCTGGATCCCTGATTTTAGTCACTTAGGTATGCAACTATAAACACAAAATAGCACCAGATCTTTGACTGTGTTTCAGGGTTTCTGTTCATGCCAAAATCTCCTGATGCTTACCATGCCTTCACTCATCGCCTCTGGAGTCCTACTATTTGTGCCTTCATTTGTGTCAATATAAATAGCTGCCAGCAGCCTATTTTCCCCCTTCTTTTAATTGAGTAATTCCTGAAGCAAAAAAGAAAGAAAGAAAATCAGTGACAGATAATCCAGCGGTTACTGATGTTTTGTTTAATTAAATAGTGGGACTTATTTTTTCCTTAGTTTTTTATTAACTCTTAAGGGAACTGTGACATTACTTAAAAGTACTAGTCTTTTTTTTTTAAGAACATAAACTCATTTTTATTTTGCACGCCCTTTTCTCATTTTCCCTGACAGTTTATCAAAAATATATATATATAGATTTGTCTGTGGGTGTTTCCTTTTTCTCATACTTGCTTGGACTTTTTTCCTTCTTGTCTAAAAATTGGGATTTTCTATTGGAACAGTTTAATGGTTCTAATATAGTATACATTGCTCCAATGTCTTCTCAAAATGTTTGTTGGTTTTTATGCTCATTCATCAACAAACTCTAATTTTTGCTCTTGAGAGCTATTCAGAATATACAAAATTACTTGCTAGTTCCAGTGAAAATATGAATGAATTGTCTGTGGCCAGATAGGAATATGTAAGTCTAAGTCTGATGGACTTTAATATGGCTCTAAACTTCTAATAAGGTACTCTTTGGAGTGAAAAGATGGCTATCTCTAAATTCAGTGTGTTTCTGCCAGTCTCCAAGATGTTCTGTTCTTCGCTTGAAGTCTGGCTTATTCCTAGCACTATTATCAAAACTGAAAATGTAGCCAAGGACGTTTGTTCTCATAGCCACCAGGAGTATGGTAAGCGCTTGAACTGTCATTTTACTGGCCTAAAGATCCTTCAGCCAAAAAAAATAAGTTTTCTCCCTTTGATCATTTCATATATTAAAAAAATTTTAGAGAGTTGTTTTCCCCTGAATTAGGTGCTTTGACAGTTGATTTCTAAGAGGATATTAATATTAATCTTTTCCCCCAGAAAAGGAGATGTGATTTAATAGAGAAAATCGTTGATATTTCTTATCCCATAAGAAATCTCTTATCTGTATAATATTTCACACAGGTAAAGTGGAAAATGAGCTATTGCATGGTAAAATCAGAATATGATGGGAAGAAAAAATATTTAGACCAATAAAGTGCTCTCTAAAAATGTATTTTTCTGATTTATCCAAATTGCCTCAATTCTTCTCTTTATTACATGCATAGCCTTAACTATATGCCTATGTACTCAGCTGTGCTGAATGCACAGTAACTTTATTAAAGGAGCAACTGGACTTTTATTATTTCTTGAAGCAGAACATGGCCTGTTCTCCCTGACATAAGCAAATGGTATATTCAACTTTATATCCATAACTACACCTAATAGCAGGGAAGATTAGCCACATTCTCCCTTAGTCTCCTCAACCTCTCCTTTAAAGGACTATTTGTTATTTATATAAAGACAATATTCCATATCTTTGAAGTACAAGACAGTTGGCACAGTATAAAGATTATTTATAATTTTTTTAAAAACTACTTAAAAAGAAACCTTATACAATTAGATTATTATTTTTAGATTTGGTGAACCTTTATAGTATATTAAAAATTAAGTATTTGAATTTTGCAGGTTTTTTTATATTATGTACCTTTTAAGTTCTCAGCATCTTTGGCTACCACTACCAACTTGAAAACATTCCATTTGAAATACCATCAAATGTATATTTTGTAGGACAATTTATATATGGTATGATTTGACCTACCATATTATAACAGATTAAGCATCATGCTTTTAACCAAAATTAAGGTTTCCTTCTAAGCATGCTGCAAATTCAATAGAGACCTATTATGTTTGAGGAACACGTAGTAAAGTTGTAACCCCTATTTGAGGCTTAGCTTGGTGGCTGATGAGATCTGCCATAGACTAAGAGAATATAACCCTTCATCTGCATTTGAACACATAGGGCTGAATGTGCTGTCAGATAAATTTTAAAGATTTGGTATTAATATTTTTCTTCAACACAAGCATTCCTAATAATTTTGACTGTTGCACCTTAGTAATTACCCAAAACATTTTTTAATGTATTTGTAAAAGATCTAAATCAAAACTAAATTTAAAAGGTAGTATTTCCGTTTGTAATTTTGTTCCCAGCCATATGCAATAATTAGTCCCCTGATGGAAAATGCTATGACAGTAATGTTGTCAAGTGCTTTTTCATAATTTTATTTTACCACTGAGCTAGATTTTAGTGTATGGAGTCTAAATATTATTTTTTAAAGTTACTCTAAAATGAGAATTCAATTAAAGCAAAAAATTTAGAAGTTGCTTACTATCGTTTCAAAATCCATTGTCTAGAGGAAGAATGAAGAGGAAAAATGTAAACTGACAACTTACCCTTTGGCTTTTATATTGGAAAGTAAAATTAAAATGTAATTATAGATTCTGGGGGGGAGATATTCTAAAAAAATACTATCTATATCTTATCTAAGCAAGTCTCACAGCTTAATGACACTAATATGGCTTAAAATACCGTAATATAGTGAGAGGGAGTTGAAGGATTGTTTTTATCACATTGGCGCAGTAATTAAGAACAATTAATGAGATTTTTGTTATGATCAGTTTTTTTTTTTTTACTGTTTTCCTGATTAGAAAATCTCAAATTATACTAAGCACCTAACAACTTACATTTATACAGCTGTTACAACAAGTTTTCAGTTTATATCTTTTTACTAACTGCAAATAAAAAAATGACCTAGCAGGCCCATGACAGAGAATTCATAACATGTGCTTTATAGCAGAATCTATTAAACAGTGTATAAAATATATAGCTGCTGCCTATGAAAAGACTTAGAATTCTTCTCTGGATTGATTTTAATGTCCTGTTTTCTTTTTTATCAGTTTTCTTAGCCTCATGTACAAAAATGTCAAGCTAGTTTGATGAAGTGATCAGCTGGTAGCAACAGATCAATTATGAGTACATTCAGTTCTTCTGGGTGAGAAATATTGCTGTTTTCTGGAAATAGCAATCATTTTAAAATGCCAAATAGCTAACTGATACCAACTCTCTTTTACATTGTCTTTTAGAGGGGGAAGTATTTGTGTGCCAGTAATCATCAAAGAGATATTTTGTAAGAGTGTTAATGATGTTCAGAAATACACGAGAGAATTTTATCCTCTTAATTTGCCTGTGAGTGTAGAACGGTGTAATTCCTATAAATCTTTATATGTATAAAGCAGTCTTGCACTTGAGTAATTTGTCTATGGAATGTTCAATAACTTTCTTTAGCAGTAATATTCACATATTTATTCCACACAGTTAAGTTCATGTGTTTGATTTTTGTCATACCAGTATGAGAAAAAGGAATGCAGCTTACAAGTACTTACAAACCGATATTTTGTGAAGTTTTACGATTTTAGTAAATTTAACATCATTCCATCTCATTTGAAGGTTAAAAAAAAAAAAAAAGAGACTTAACTCTAGCCAAAGTAGAACTTTATATTCTACATGTCCAAACTGGTTCCTAAAGGCTTTTGGACTATATATCACATTTGATGTTATAGTATCTTTATTTGTAATTAATGTTCAAATTTCTATTTAGAAGCTCTAATGTACATCTAGATTAAATCAAGAGTTTTATGCTTTTAAAATATGTATTTCAAAATGTATATTTTAATTTGATTGCATGTTATATAGTATTTAATACTTCACATGTCTTGGAAAATTCAATATAAATATTTATTCTTACATGTGATATATGGGGTATCTCTTAAAAATTATGACTATGTATCATTCCCTTCAAAGTCATTCTAGCCTATAGCTGTATCAAAAGTATTGTATATTTTATGGAAATTTAGTGATGTATATGTAAATTTTTTAAGTTATTTTATTGAAGTTCAATCTTTACATAAAATTAAAATCTTTTTTTAAAAAAAGTGTGCCAGGTAAATGAAAATAATCAAATAAAAGTTATGACAATTCATTAGTCATTTATCTCCTCTGCACTTTTCTATTTCCTGATTCTCTTCCTTTGATTTTAGGATCTAAGTTACATAGGAAAGGCATCTACAAAATTTTGTTATCTCTATATATTTATGCAATTCTTACTCATTTTAATATTTTACCTCTTTTTAACATGGGTAAACTCAACTATCTTTAAAAATAAATATCTAAAAATTATTTAAGGAATTATTCTAATAAATATAAAACTTTGAAATGAAATGCTTTAGGAACCCTTGAGATAGTATTTCTGGTTGTTGTCAAAACCAGATGTGACATAAGCCATTATGTTGGGTTGACAAAAACTGTATTCGCTTTGTAAATAAAAACAAAATACCTGCTGGATGATCAGCTGACAGTTGCTTTTGGAACTCTATTGGTCTCCATTGCGATTTTGCCCTAACTATAGCTTTTATTAGCAAGAATTTTCTATAGTATTATCTGGGCAGCTATTACGACTTACCTCCGTGGTTATGGTGTGCCCTCCTAAGCCCGCCTGTCGAAACAGCATGAGGAGATCCCATAAAGATACTAGCTCACTTGTCCACAGGCTTACAGTAGAGATGGGATCTCATGTTCAGGTGGCTTCTCCATGCACACACAATTAAATTTGATTTTCTCCTGCAAAAAAAAAAAAAAAGTGGAGGGGCGCCTGGGTGGCTCAGTGGGTTATGCCTCTGCCTTCTGCTCAGGTCATGATCCAGGGTCCTGGGATTGAGCCCCACATCGGGCTTTGTGCTCGATGGGGAGCCTGCTTCTCCTTCTCTCTGCCTATTTGTGATCTCCCTCTCTCTGTCAAATAAATAAATATATATATATTTTTAAAGATTTTATTTATTTATTTAACAGAGAGAAATATATATTTTTTTTAATTTTATTTTTTATAAACATATATTTTTATCCCCAGGGGTACAGGTCTGTGAATCGCCAGGTTTACACACTTCACAGCACTCACCATAGCACATACCCTCCCCAGTGTCCATAATCCCACCCCCCCCAACCCCCCTCCCCCCATCAACCCTCAGTTTGTTTTGTGAGATTAAGAGTCACTTATGGTTTGTCTCCCTCCCAATCCCATCTTGTTTCATTTACTCTTCTCCTACCCCCTTAACCCCCCATGTTGCATCTCCTCTCCCTCATATCAGGGAGATCATATGATAGTTGTCTTTCTCCGATTGACTTATTTCACTAAGCATGATACCCTCTAGTTCCATCCACGTCGTCGCAAATGGCAAGATTTCATTTCTTTGATGGTTGCATAGTATTCCATTGTGTATATATACCACATCTTCTTTA